CTTTCTTTTATTAGTTTTAAACCTGCTACCCATTAATTTCATTTGGTGTCCTCTAGTTCTTCTATTATGGGAACTAATAAATAACTTTTCTTTATCGGCCCTCTCCACACCACTCATGATATTATAGACCTCTATCATATCCCCCCTCAGTCTCCTCTTTTCTAAACTGAAAAGTCCCAGTCGCTTTAACCTCTCCTCATATGGGACCCGTTCCAAACCCCTAATCATTTTAGTTGCCCTTTTCTGAACCCTTTCCAAGGCCAAAATATCTTTTTTGAGGTGAGGAGACCACATCTGTACACAGTATTCAAGATGTGGGCGTACCATAGTTTTATACAGGGGCAGTAAGATATTCTGGGTCTTATTTTCTATCCCTTTCTTAATAATTCCCAGCATCCTATTTGCCTTTTTGACCGCCGCTGCACACTGTGTGGAAGTTTTCAGAGAACTGTCCACGATAACTCCAAGATCCCTTTCCTGATTTGTCGTAGCCAAATTAGCCCCCATCATACTGTACGTATAGTTGGGGTTATTTTTCCCGATGTGCATTACTTTACACTTATCCACATTAAATTTCATTTGCCATTTTGTTGCCCAATCACTCAGTTTGGTGAGATCTTCTTGGAGTCCCTCACAGTCTGCTTCTGTCTTGACTATCCTAAACAGTTTGGTATCATCTGCAAACTTTACTACCTCACTGCTTACCCCTTTCTCCTTCGAACGAGCGGGGAATTAAAAATGGCGGAGCCCCGCTTATGCAAATGAAGCCAGGGAAATTCAAATCCCGGGCTTCATTTGCAAGTGTGGTATGCCTACATTACCCCGCTAGTTCGAACTAGCGGGGTAGTGTAGACATACCCTTTGGTATCATCTGCAAACTTTACCACCTCACTGCTTACCCCTTTCTCCAGATCATTTATGAATAAGTTGAAAAGGATTGGTTCCAGGACTGACCCTTGGGGGACACCACTAGTTACCCCTCTCCATTCTGAAAATTTACCATTTATTCCTACCCTTTGTTTCCTGTCTTTTAACCAGTTCTCAATCCAAGAAAGGACCTTCCCTCTTATCCCATGGCCATGTAATTTACACAAGAGCCTTTGGTGAGGGACCTTGTCAAAGGCTTTCTGAAAATCTAAGTATACTATATCTACTGGATCCCCATGTTTGTCCACATGTTTGTTAACCCCTTCAAAGAACTCTAATAGATTAGTAAGACAGGATTTCCCTTTACAGAAACCATGTTGACTTTTGTCCAACAAATTATGTTCTTCTACATGCTTCACAATTTTATTCTTTACTATTGTTTCGACTAATTTGCCCGGTACTGAAGTTAGACTTACCGGACTGTAATTGCCCGGATTGCCTTTAGAGCCCTTTTAAAATATTGGTGTCACGTTGGCTACCTTCCAGTCTTTAGGTATGGTAGCCGATTTAAGGGATAGGTTACAAACCACAGATAATATTTCAGCAATTTCCCATTTTAGTTCTTTTAGAACCTTGGATGAATGCCATCCAGTCCCGGAGATTTGTTAACATTAAGTTTTTCATTAAGTTTTTTAGTAGATCTTGATAAATAAATAGTTAGACATAAGGGACTGTATTGAAAAAGAAACATAGCCATCTAGAAAAATCACTGAGGTTCACAAAGCCAGATTAGGTGCCGAGACTCCCTATACAATGAATCAGGAGAGGCACTGTAGAATATTCACAAAGCCAGCATACTTGGAGGATTGCACACTAGGGCAAAAGTCTTTTTCCGAAAAACTTTTGCGCAAAATGGCCAGTGTAGACAGCAGAGATTTGTTTTCCACAAAAAAGCCCCAATCGCGAAAATAGCCAAAAAAAAGTGCTTTTGCGGAAAAGCATCCTGCCAATCTAGACGCGCTTTTCCGAAAATGCTTTTAACGGAAAACTTTTCCGGAAAATCATGCCAGTCTGGACGTAGCCTGTGTGAGAAGCTAAGTGGGGAGCTTTGTGAAAGCCAGTGGCACCTGATTCTGGGATTTAGGTGTCTAAAGTGGCAGTTAGGAGCATAAATCGAGCCAAAAACACTATTTGTTTTCCCTGATATTGCAGTAGTTAATTTGCCACTAAAGTAAAAATGTATCTCTAATTGTAACAAGTGTGACAGCCTCAGTTTGACATAATTTCCAGATCTGTTCCACTGTACTTCTCTCATTTTAACTGGTGCGCTCACTTGAGTTTACACACCAAGTTTACAAATGACAAATTAGGCAACAGAGGATGTTTTAGTACCATACAGGGGACAGTTATCTGTTGGTGGAATCTGGCAAGCAGCTTCCCATTAGCAACCAGATTACAGCCATTACTCATCGAGAGCTCATAAAGGAGGGATGATGATAATGTGCACATCACCGTGGGGGTGGGGAACAAAAGACATGGGGCCATGCCCCAACTTCTCTCTCCCTCAGTGGGCCTGGTGCAAAGGCAGAAGTATCCTGAATAACTTCTCCACCTGTGTGCTTGGGAGCTCTAAGAATCAGACCTCCTCCCAAACCACCTCCCTTATGGGTTAGGGTGGCTTTGCAAACGGCACAAATCTATCCTAATTAAAGTGCCAACCAAACGTACTTCATACTCCTGTGCATTTGTCCCCATCTCATATGTCTTAATGCACAACATTTGAGTGGTTCCGCAGTGCTGAAGAAACCTACAGCATACAGCAGGGTGCACCCGGTAGCCATAGGTACTAGTTATTATTAAAGCTATTTCTTATAAGGGTTACTTTACTTGAGATCCACTATATTGTTGTGTGTTTATTACTTATTTTAATACTGCATCATAGTGCCTTTGTGGGTGTGAATATACAATCAGAATATATAAATACACCTCTAGCTCATTAAATAAATCTTGTGGGACACTAGAGAGTATAAACTTGCAAATGGTATTATGAAAGAAGGCTAATTAGTTGTTAGTCTAACAAAGGGTTGTGCTACTAAACTTAACTTTGTGGTTAACTAACTTTCACCAGCAGAATCCCTCTGATAGCTAAACTAAATAGAACCTTGCATTAGGGTGTCCAAATTGTTACCTACCACCCTGTGCTCTTGGGGATCTAGGGAGTGACATTCATGGAAAACCATCCCCCCTCTTCCCCTAGGCCTCTGCCAGAATCAGACAGAAATAAAGCCCTATTTTGAACTACCTGTTATTCCTCCTGCAATGAGGTTTAACAGGTAGTTTGAAAATAGGGCTTTATTTCGAACGCCCATTTCACTGTCGCATGTAGACGTGGGCAGTTATTCTGGGCTTGTAAATTTAAAAAATGTCGCCCTGCTGGGAAGATGCAAATCAAGTGCGGGATATTTAAATCCAGGGCTTGATTTGCAATTCCGAATGCCTACATTTGCAGCCCTATTCCAAAATAGGCTGCAAGTGTAGATATACCTTTATTCTGTTTTACTCATGTTCTGGCATACAATTAATTTTATAGCAGTCTTTCACAGCAGATTTGACAAAAATCAAAGAAGGTACCAAGAAGGTACTTCTTCCAAGGTGAGATTTCTAAACCGATATCTACACCACTTGACCCAAGGTTTAAGACTCTGAAGTGCCTTCTAAAATCTGAGAGGGATGAGGTATGGGAGTCTTTCAGAAGTCTTAAAGGAGCAACACTCTGATGTAGAAACTACAGAACCCAAACCACCAAAAAAGAAAATCGACCTTCTGCTGGTGCGATTGGGCTCAGATGATGAAAATGGACATGCACCAATTATCAACTGCTTTGGATCATTATTGAGCAGAACCTGTATTCAACATTGATACATGTCCTCATGTCCTTTGGAATCGTGGTTGAAGCATAAAGAGACATATGAATCTTTAGCTAACCTCGCATGTAAATATCTCGCAATCCTGGTTACAATAATGCCATGTGACATTGAAAATAAGAAGTGGGTAGCATTGTCTCCCACAAATATAAACAAACTTGTTTGTTTGAACAGTTGACTCAACAAGAAATAGGACTGAGTGGACTTGTAGGCTCTAAAGTTTTACACTGTTTTATTTGTGTATGCTTTTGTACATAATTTTATAGCTGTAACTTCAACTTTCATAGTAAATTGATTACACTAGAGTACCTCTATTTACTAGGTGAATTAAAAAATACTATTTCTTTTGGTTTTTACAGTGCAAATAAATGCAATCAAAATATATACAGAGTGAGCACTGTACACATTGAAATCTGTGTTTTAATTTAAATCAATATACTTGAAAAAGTAGAAAGCACCCACAATATTTAAATAAATAGTATTCTCTGATTGATTAACAGCACAATTAATTGTGATTAATTTTTTTAAGAGCCTCACATCCCTAAAACTCATGCGACTAAAATGCACATATGAGATTTCTGGATAAGTGGTTTAGAGCCAGCATGTTAAAAGACATTTTTTAAAAGTTGGTAAGTTTGCTGGTAAAACTATAATTTTGATTTAAATCACTCCAAGACCAATTCATTTGAAATAAACCTTAGGAGCAGATATTTTTAGAGCATACAAGCAACTCTCAACCAAATCTAATGTTCTGTAAAATCAGGAGTTAATTCAAGAGATCAATGTAGGATCTCTTCTGAACTGCATGCTTTGGTTTGATACCTTGATAGTGACAGCTCTAGAGAGTAACAAAGTAGTGATGAACATTAAAGAAACATGTTTTAAAACTATGAGGGAAAAAGTTAAAAGCAAACTGGAGAGGAAAATTAAACTTAAAAACTATGTAATTGGCTTAAGAGTTGCTTAAGATTAGTTATAAGAACAGCAAAGGGCAAGAGTTTCAGATGCATTCAAAGTCTTATGGCTGCATCTGAGGGAAGGATGAAAGAAGTCAGTTGTGGGTCTGATTCTGAGATGGATTCTATACTGACCTGGACCTCAGTTTACTGTAAATCAGGGGTGGGCAAATACCGGCCTGTGAGCTGGATCCAGTTTGCCAGGTTCAGCCCCCAGGGGTCACCACCACTATATTTTCCTCTGTCTCCACAGGTATAAGCGATTGGCACCGGATCACTGTTCCCTACCAACTGAAGCTGCGTAAAACCGCTTGGACTGGGACACCGTTTCCTGCAGCTCCCATCGTCCAAGAATGGCAATCCACAACCAATGGGAGCTGCAATCGCTTGTGTCTGCGGAGGTGCAGATAAATATAGTTGTGGTAGCCTGCCAGGGGCTAACCCTGGTGTACGGCCACTATTTTATTGCCTACCCCTGTTATAGATCAACCTAAAGGCTGCTCTAAGTATGCCACCAAGTTATATAAAACAGATTGCTCCAGTCTTGCCTCCAACAGGTCCCCTATGTTAGCTGCTTCAGAGAGGTATGTTGTAGGAACTTGGGAGAACCAGTGAATTTCTGTCCCCTTTGGCATTTGAGTGGCACGAAGATCTTAAGTGAAGAAGAGAATTTTGCTAATAGCTATATTTTAATTGTAAAACTTGCATAATTATTACCTGTCTCTTCCTAACAAGTGGAGTACCCCCCCCCAGAAAGGTTTTCTCAATGTGAAAGGATAGTATGACATCATCTGGAAGGAGGATTCCAACTATGGGATGATTTTCCTCTGCTGCAGTTGGATGTTCTCCTCTGAGATTTTCATCCTACTCAACAGCATAGAGGCTGTCAGTCTGGGATGGAGGGGAACCATCCTACTGTGCTCCAGAAAGTCTCATCTATATACCTCTTTGCCTTCCTTATCTCCTCCAGTTCAGCCACTCTTGTTTCCAAAGCCCATACATAGTCTCTGAGAGCCCAGAGTTTCTTGCACCCAATACTCACATATGCCACCTGCCAATTGGATAGGTAATCTTCCATGTGGTTTTCATGAAAAAAATAATTAGCCTTAATTTAAATAACGTTTTCTTTAGATGCATATGTAGCTACCTGGCCAGTATTCACCTAACAGATGTGAAGGAAATAAAGTATGAAATAGGAGAAATGTTGATACGAATATGAGATCTAGCCTTTGAGACCACCGACTACTACTGTGGTGAGAATTACAGACTATATAGGCTTTCCTCAAGCCTGGGGCAATTTTCAAATAAAATAATAAATAACAGAAGAGTACTAATATGGTAGATAAGTGTAAGCTGAATGTCCAAAAAATGTATCTCCTGTAAGGAAAAGTCATGCTATGTCCAACTAATAAGAAACACAATCACGGAGTATAGGCAAAAAGCCCTAAGCTTTGATTAAAAAGTAGTGAAACAGGAAATAAAAGAATCATAGTGGAAAGAAGTTGACAAAACTGTACCCCAGAGGCTGAAATTGGCACTCGCATTCTTATTAATGACTATAGTAGGTAGAGTGAGCCAGTGAAGTTAAATGTGTAATTATTTTAGAACCAATAGGAGGGAGTAGTAGAGGTTTTATAGTATGAATGGGAAGGATTTGTGATAAAATGTTATTAGTTGGGAGTACTGGAATTCTCTAGATTATTACTCCTTTTATAATAGGAAACTAAACATCTTGGCAGCTATTATCCCAACAGCATTTATACTTAGTGTTCTATAGCAAACTAAATTTTGAGCAATATTACATCAAATAACCAGAATAAACATTTTAATTTTATAAAAAAGATGTCTAATTCTAGTTTTCTTAGTGCAGAAACTTCAACTATAAATTATTCTTATGTTTCCCAATCTATAATCAGTGGAGAGTCATATAAGAATATTGAAGTTGGGTGTTTTTGATCTCCTTCAAATAACTTACATCCTATTAATACAATGGAGTACTCATATAGGATTTAAATACAAACTCTGTAAATCACTAGAAAGACTCCTATTCACTTTTTGAGAAAATGTCTATTATTGAAAAAATGCACCCATTTTTTATGGTTTACATAATCAGAAATAATTAAAACTATTGAGAGGAATACAATCCCAAACAAAAACAAAAGAATCATATAAAATGTATTTTTGCAATACTCTGGCTTCAATGACTTTCAAATATCAATAAAATCTTATACCTTTAATGATGCACCATCTGCAACTGCCTATTTTAATATATTTTATACGTATTGTACATTTGATTACTAAATAATTAATAACTTCATCTTAGTTTTCAGCAGAGAGTCTTTGGAACAAATCATAGATCAAAATAATTCACTTAAAGACAGACTGTACACATGATATTCATCAAAGTCTGTTCTGTGCTTTAAACAAGGCTGCTACATATTTACATCTGTTTAAAATGTAAAGCAACTATTCTGGAGGATAAAACTTTCCAAAAACTTGAGCTTACTTCTGTATTTGTTCTCATACTCTCCATGCATTCCTAAGACTTTCACAGCATGATGTAAGTAACCTATTCAACTTTACAACAAAGTAGTTTGTTCATTTTTTATGGATTAACTATTTACATCTGATAAAAATTTTACAACTTTTTAATGAACTAAGTCTGTCTTCCTATCTACAGACATAATGAATGGTGTGTACACAAGTCCTTGCAAGACAAATTCTTTTTTTCTTAGTGCATTAAAAACAGATAGAAGAAACATTCTGTATTTATATCCAGCATAAATTAGCTGTTACTATAAAGAATAAGGGGGGCTGATTCCTTACCTTTGTTACCCAAGATTTTATAGCAGAGTAACTTGACTGAAAACATTTATACCAGCTTAAAACTGATGTAATATAGGGGCAAAAAATTAATAATATTACACTTCAGAAAGAATACACCAACCATTCAAATTACTTTTAGAAAAATGCTAATGTTTTAATTAATGTTCAGCAAAAGACTCGACCTCTCTCACTTAGAAGACACTTTGGAATGCATTTGAAGAATAACAATTTTTAGACAAAAAAAAATCTCTTGAAGCTATTTAACTGGAATAACAATTGTGCACAATATAGCTTCATTTTTATTCTGTAAAGAAAAAATGGTTTGCCCGTTTGCACTCTACTTGCAAATGTTCTAAATTTTTTTTAAAAACACATATTACAGTGAAAACTTTGTTATCCAGCACTCATGGGGAATGGGGGTTGCTGGTTAATTACTTTGTCCCTGCCCCCTACTGGCAGTTCTGGCTCCTGGCATCTTGAGGCAGGCTGAGGGGGAAGGAGGTGCCTGCTGATGACGTCAGCCGGCAACACCAGTTGTTAGAAGCCTTGCAATGACTGGTTGGATAGACAGAAGTCAGGCATGTGTGCCTGAAGACATGGCAGTATTTGTGACTGGGGATAGTGCCTGTTAACAAAGTTTTCCGATTAACAGTATGCTGAATACAAAGCTTTCTCTGTATTTTTTTTTTCACAAATGGAAATCCTTTAAGCCTAATTTTTAAGGCAACATCAACCCGGCACCCATATTATGTACATGTATAAATGCATGCATGTGCACATGCACACACGCCTATATACTCACTTTGAGCACAGTAGCATTGTTGTGAACAGGTGAAAATAACATCTATATGTAGGGTAATAGATTTTGTGAGTGAACAGTTTCCTGCTTATACAGGTGTTATAATGTATTATGTATTACTCCTACTTCTGAATATGTTTGTGTGTGTATAAATGAAGTGTCACCGTCTATTCCTTTTCCTCTATCTGTTTTCCCATACAATATAAATGTGATTATTTCTCACCTTTACCATGCCTTAATGAAAAGCCCCTGGATGTTTATGTAAGAACATAGAGGCATGAACCTACAAGGCACTGCTGGAAACAAATCTAAGTAGTCACAAAAGAGGTATAACAAACAAGTTGGCTTTCCTGCACCATTCCATAGTATGCTTCAAATCTGATAGGAAATTATAGCCTCCAGAGTGACAGGGCAGTTCAGTTTCCATGTCTATTAATTGCTGGGCATGACTTTGGAGAAATTGTGATGCTGAGGCCAGTCTTTTGTACACTAGTCATGAAGATGAACATAGGCATCTGGTACCTTAGTTGCCTTCCCAAACCACCAGGTATGGCCCCACCCACACTCCACTCCCAGAACGCCTGCTGTAGGTATACTGAGGGCATAGTATTGCTGCCCCCGAGCACCTGCCATCCCCATGCTCCAGGGCCGGGAGGTTGGAGCCACATACCCTTGTTCCTCGCCAGTGCTCTGGGCCAGGGAGGCATGGCCTCCTCCCTCCCTGGTGCTCTGGGGCTGGGGAGCCTCAGGCTGTGCAGTCTTCTCCCTCCCCAGTGCTCTGGGGCTGGGGAGGTGTGAACTCTCCCTCTACTCAATCTGTGGTGGGAGGGGGTGTGCGCTCAGCATGATTCCCCACTTCCTCCCCTCCCTGTGGTGGGGAGGTGGGGCCTCTGCATAAGGGACAGGGCTGTAGGTGGAGCTGGTAGCCTGCCTCCCTCAGCCCTACCTTTATCCACCACTCATGAGGATGAATGACTAAAAATACTGATTTTAGTTAAGATGCCATGGACTTTCCCCACAACAGTACACCTCACGCATATATTTTAGTACCCTTGCTATTTTAGTATGAAGCCTTTATTGAGCTGACACTATTAATCATGCTGCACTATGCAGAAGTGCATACCAGTGCGGACTAGGAAGAGACTATCAGACTCATTTTTATTTGTGACCTAGGCTGACACTAGAATTTGAAGCTAAACCAACAGAGGTGAAAGACTAGTGAGCTAATTCTTGGTTACTAAACTCCCAATCTTACCTCATGTACTTTAAAGATTTCAGTGTTATATCACTGTGTGACATAATTTCAAGGCTTTTGTCAATTTCCTAGTTAGTCCTTGTATCATTTTTAAATATGGTGTAATCTTGAAAAGACATTTATTACCTATGATCCATGTCCAAAAAATAATTACTCTGAAATTAAAATAGCACACAATTTCTTAAAGAGAAGAAAAAAATGGTGTTTTAGAAGTATTGGAGAAAATATTTATTCATCACAATTCACTTTAATAGATTTTATAAATGTATGCACTGTTTTTGAAGAGCTAGGGCACCCAGCCAGAAGAATGTATAATTGGGGATGCTGATTGAAATATTAGATGTTAAGACTTTTTTATCCCTGCAGTACTTTAGATTTAAACTACAGTGCAATAATATTCCACCCTAATTCACAAACTAAGCAAAATATTAAATAGTTATTGTTTTAGTTTATCTATAGGTTGTAAAATCACATAATGAGGCCAAATCCAATTGCCTCAGTCATCCCAAAAAATCTTATTAAATAATTCTTGATCTATAAATCATGCATGAGAGTTCTGTTACAAGTATTTGATATTTGAAATTTAAGCAGTGTTAATTAGTTTTAAATATCTATGTATGTCACATGCTAGATTTCTATTTCCCAAATGGATAAGCGCAACTCTTAAAAAATCAGATTTGTAATGGGAATACTGACTGTTATTAGTTCACAATTCACTTTCCACAATATGTTCCAATAATCACATAAAATTCAGTGTTTTTATCTATTCCTGCCAGTAAACTAGGTTTTATACAATATTCAAATATAAAAGGAGGCATCAATAAAACAGTAGGACATGTATATTCATATACATTGTTTTATACTGTTTTCTCTGTTCTAGGTTTTTTGACCAATGGAATAATTTTTGGCAGCTGAAACAAATATTAAATAAAATATTAACTACTATAGGAACACACATTTTATTCACAGAGGAAAAGTTTACATTGGATGTACAACAAGAACAACCCTGTTGCAATGTGCTGTATACACTGACAGCATTATACTGCTATTAGATTAAAAGAAGACTTTCTATCAGGTTTAAAAGAGTCAGATTTGCATAATTGAAAACATTATTTTAGTCTCGGCAGAATTTTTTTTTTATAATATCTGATAACCAGTGTGTACTCTTAAAGATTTATTTTTTTATCAATTTTAATTTTTAGTTACACAAAAGTATCAGGTTTAAGCATTAAAATGTGCTGTATATTGACATGTTCACAGGTGTGTATAGGATCATGCAAGAGGGGGGCATCAAGTAATTTTTTAATCACAGATATTAAAATTTAAAGAATTAACACACATAATTGTCAAGAACACGTGTCAAAATATATAAAGCAAATAACCTTAAATCCAACACTAATAAGTTCTCAAGCAGCATTTTTCTTCCTTTGCTTAGCTGTAAATGTCTATTTTTATTATTGTTGATAGAAATCTTTTTTCATTGGCTTGAGTATATACAGTGAAATTGACATTTATCAACATTTACTAATAAAAATCTTACCCTAACAAGACTGTTGAGACTGTTCATGTCACTGTCCTCAGCCAACTACAATTACAAAGAACCTTTCTATTGTTGTTTTAAATTAAGGTGCCACAGCTGCTTAGATAAATAAATGACCATAATGATTGAGTGAATGCTGAATGAGGAAGCATAGCCAGGTGTTCTGACAGAGTAGGCTTCAAAGTGTGAATGAGCTTTGATGCATGTCATAAAAGCCCAAGGTCTTCAGACCATTGTTGGAGAAACTTTCAAGTAATTATATTAGAGAAAGTAAAAAATAAATCTACTGTATAAGATAGCTTTTGCTATCACCATGATTTTACAATTAACTGCAACCCCGACTCATACTCATATTGACAGAACCCCCTGTGGCCATGGAGAACCTATCCAAGGAGAGTCAGGAGCAGGATTGGGGTCTGAATTTATGTAAGACCTACACTTAAAAAAAATAGTCAAACTGCCTTCTGAATCCATTGACACAGCATAACCATCCCAATGTGTCTGTATTATTGAGTGATTTTACAATTAACTGCAACCCCGACTCATACTCATATTGACAGAACCCCCTGTGGCCATGGAGAACCTATCCAAGGAGAGTCAGGAGCAGGATTGGGGTCTGAATTTATGTAAGACCTACACTTAAAAAAAATAGTCAAACTGCCTTCTGAATCCATTGACACAGCATAACCATCCCAATGTGTCTGTATTATTGAGCTATAGTTACATAAGAACATAAGATTGGCCATATTGGATCAGACCAAAGGTCCATCTAGCCCAGTATCCTGTCTTATATCAGTGGCCGATATCAAATGTCCTAGAGGGAGTGAACAGAGCAGGTTCTGATCTTCACAACATTCTCTGGCAAGGACTTCCGCAGGCTGAAAAACTTCCTTTAGTTTGTTTAAAACCTGCTACCTATTAATTTCATTTGGTGACCCTAGTTCGTATGTTATGGGAACAAGTAAATAACTTTTCCTTATTGACTTTCTCCATTCCTGTCATGATTTTATAGATCTCTATCATATCTCCACTTAGGCTCCTCTTTTCGGAACCTTTTCCAATGCCAAGATACCTTTTTTGAGAGGAGGCAGCCATATCTTTATGCAGTATTCAAGATATGTGCATACCGTGGATTTATACAGAGGCAATAAGATATTTCTCTGCCTTATTCTCTATCCCTTTTAAAATTATTCCTAACATTCTGTTTGATTTTTTGACTGCAACTGCACACTGAGTGGATGTTTTCAGAGAACTATCCACAGTTATTCCAAGATCTCTCTCTTGAGTGGTTATAGCTGAATTAGTCCCCATCATTTTGCATGCATAGTTGAAATTATTTTTTCCATAGTCCATTACTTTGCAATTATTAACATAAAAATTCATTTGCCATTTTGTTCCCCACTCACCTAGTTTTGTGAGATCCTTCTGAAGCTCTTTACAGTCTGCTTTGTTCTATCTTGAGCAGCTTAGTATCAACTGCAAATTTTGCCACCTCACTGTTTACCCCATTCTCCAGATCATTTATAAATAGGTTAAATAGGATTGGTCCCAGTACGGATCCTTGGAGGACACCACTAGTTACTTCTCTCCATTGTGAAAACTGACCATTTGTTCCTACCCTCTGTTTCCTGTCTTTTAACCAGTTATCAATTTATGAGAGGACCTTCCCTCTTATCCCATGACAACTAACTTTACTGAAGAGCCTTTGGTGAGGGACCTTGCCAAAGGCTTTCTGGAAATCTAAGTATACTATATCCACTGGATTCCCCTTGTCCACATGCTTGTTGGCTGTTCTCAAAGAACTCTAGTAGATTAGTAGAACTCAAGTAGATTACAGAATCCATGTTAACTTTTCCCCAACAAATTATCTTCATCTATGTGTCTGACAATTCTATTCTTAACTATGGTTTCAGAAGCTTCCTCCCCATCGGGGGCTCATACCCCATTTCTCCCTCACCTCCTTCCACTTACCCCTCCCTAGCCCCCCTTCCTGATGTACAAAATAAAGGACAATTGTGTTCAAAAATAGAATCTCTCTTTATTGAACAAAACTGGGGGAGACTGGGAAAAGGAGGTGGGAGAGAGGAAGAGAGAGGGTGGGAGAGGAGAGGGCAACTACAATGATGAGGGGTTTGGAACAGGTCCCATATGAAGAGAGGCTAAAGAGACTGGGACTTTTCAGCTTAGAAAAGAGAAGATGGAGGGGGGATATGATAGAGGTCTATAAAAGCACGAGTGGGGTGGAGAGGGTGCATACAGAAAAGTTCTTCATTAGTTCCCATAATAGAAGGACTAGAGGACACCAAATGAAATGAATGGGTAGCAGGCTTCAAACTAATAACAGAAAATTCTTCTTCACAAAGCAAATAGTCAACCTGTGGAACTCCTTGCTGCAGGAGGCTGTGAAGGCTAGAACTAGAACAGAGTTTAAAGAGAAATTAGATAAATTCATGGAGGCTGGGTCCATGGAGTGCTATTAGCCAGGGGATAGAAATGGTGTCCCTGGCCTCTGTTTTGGAAGGCTGGAGATGGATGGCATGAGACAAATGGCTTGGTCATTGTCTTCGGT